ACAATGGTTATTCATTGATGATGCAAGGTCATCCATACAATTTCGAACTATTGCGAACTTCGTCTCATTCTTGTATCACGGAAGTATGTAATTACAGCGATTTGGTTGGGTTGTACATAAGGGAATATAACCAATCAGAGTACTCGGAAAAGTCTTTAAACAATAAACCATAATATTTCAGTCCGTCTGTGGATTGCTCTGATTGGCTGTATTCTCTGACGTATAATCCGATCAATTCGTTGCATGTGATACAGGAATAGTTGCTATTGACGTCAAGGTATATGACGAATAAGCTTGTCATTGTGTAGATGTAAACGACGATGCATTAAAAATGAAACTGTTTACTAACAAGTATAACATTTATTCACCTGATTTAACTAAGGTTGTTGCCAGGAAAGCGACAATAGCCGCCTTTTTTCTTTAACAACTTTACAATTTAAAAATGTGTAAACTCAGTTTGTAGCAAACAGAAGTATTGGTTATATTTATTATTATTCTCACCGATCACTGACACCTGGCACTCCATGTATTTCACTTCATCTGAATCATTTATTGATGGTAACTGAGTTCAGGGTGAATCTGTCTGATAAACTAGCTCTGAGAACTCGGTGACTAAGAATATCTCACTGTGTCTCGACAACTGATAACTGACAACCGGCTCTATAACTTGCTACAGTTACTGGAATATCACCGACGTGTCATTGGCATATTTACAGATAGGTTTTATTCTAGAATTACTTTAAAAAATGTTCTCCACTTTTTATGTGTACTTTTATAGAAGCTGAAAGCATCGATTTGAATCAATCCATTTTTCAGTCAGACGTGGTTCTTGCGATTAGCCTACACTAAAACTAAGCGTTTTAAGACATCGCTATCGCACAAAGTGCTAATAATATTTAAGTATTTTGAGGGCTTTTGCAAAAGCGATGTCATAAAACCACCCCTTAAAAACTTATTCTAGAATAGCCTTATATTTTTTGAGCTGTTGGAATATTTCGAAATTATTGGTTGTTTTCTAATCTTGGTTGACGTGTGAAAGTTTCACATAATTCCAGTCAAACCAATATCCAAAGCTTCAAATAATCTGAAAAAAGTCAAAATCCTGGTTAAAGACCGGTTGGTAGACGGGATCCTCGAGAACCAATGATTTTATCTTTGTAAGATGTCCAACCTGGTTGAAATACTCACGTCTCGTTTCGGTTCCTAAGTTGCGGGCTCACGAACGGTCTTGGTCAGAGATTTTTGTCGCCGACTAGAGTCTTGTCAAGATCTTCACGGGCACACGAGGAGACAAAATCACCAGTCGGTCGTTTTCCACCATATCCATAATCAAGTGCGGAGCATGCAATTGAAAGGAAAACGAATTGGATGATGACGGTATCTCATGCAGACGAGTAATCTATCGGAGATAATTATCAAACTTGTTTGATATATATAAATCCTGCCGGGATGCGATAATCTTGTAGTAGAAGCACGGGCACACGGGAGATTTTACTTAAGACTCTAATCGGCAACAAAAATCTCCAACCAAGACTATTGTGTGCCCTACCTGACGCAGACTACAAAATTTGACAAGTATAGTCTTGGTCATATCATCCAAATTAGATACTTGCCGGTAAAAAACACAATTGTTGTCCCAATTGGTATAAAATATACACAGTTACGTCCCCTTATCTGCTTTCTCTCACTTAACAGATTAACCTGTTGGTTATACAATGAACAAGGTTGGTTTTGTAAGATTATTTTAATTTGATGATGAGATTGAGCGGAAATATGCATGTAATCTGAAATAAGAATTCATACCTACCTGCTAGGGCGATTACAAACCTTAAGGTTGAAACGGTGTAGGTGATGACCAATCTTAACGTATACCCCCACTCCATCTTTCATAACTCACTATTACTTTGATATTATATTTTCAAGGTAACATGGGTGGTGACCTCGTGAGGTGACTTTACCTTGATATTACAATACAATACCTACAATATCGTAAGTTGAGTAAGGTCAAGACAATACAAGATGAATTACTGGTAATAAACAATAATTGAGATATATATGCCTATAATTATTTATACAATGTCACATTAATTAAACAAATAGTGAAAGTCACATTAAAGGGCAATCCAATTCAAATTAGATTTCAATTTCTTTTTTTCTTTTTTTCCGTTTTTTTTAAATTTTTTTTTGAAGCTTCCTACGCCATGAGTCCCATCCTATTGTTAGTCTTTACTAATTACAGTAAGTAATGTAATAACGATGACAAATTGTGGGATATTCGAAACCCAAAAAGACTATTGCTCATATTGCTGTGGCGGTGGGTTAAAAGACTTATGGGAGGGGGGAGGTGGTGGGAGGGGTATGTGGGTAACTGTTGGTGGAGATCGAAACATCTCTATTCCAGCTTCTGATAGCTATTTTGACAGCTGTCGGCTTGTGTAGAGACAAAATAACCAGGCCCTTTATTGTGGGGATTTTCCGCATCTCCGGCGTTTTAAACCTTTTTAAGTAGCCTACACCATTTATGTACAAAATCCACATAATAATACAAAGATTTTTGTTAGTTTTAATGAACACGATTTGCTAAGACACTGCTGACACGATTCGCTATTACTATTTCTCACTGTATCGAGAATTCCTCACCGTACACCGTAGCCTACCAGACACCCTATATTTATATCTCACAACTATAGCCCTTCCTGCACTGAGTAACATGCTCTGCAGTCAAATCAGATCAGTAAGTATTAGTAAAACAAAGCTGATACGTTTGTTCAAATTTTTAACGAATATTTGACAAACGATGATTGATTTGTACTTAATATCAAATAATAATATGATGATTAATTTGGGTGTCGTTTTTTTTTTTATTGTCTTTTATTCAATAATATATTCCTTTTAGTTTAGAGCGTTATATAAGGGCGACGATAGGAGAGGGAAACAGGTCCTGGAGAAATCCAATCGCTGGGACAGGAATAGCGGCCAAAGGGAAAATCTATCAAATGAGATTCGGATTAACAGTCACAGTGAGTCGAAACGAGACACGAAAGTTCGAATAAACCGTTGCTTGGATTTGATTAACGGCCTGCAAGATCGGATAAATGCTTACATGTTTGGATAAAGACAGGATCGGCCACCAAGGTTCGAATAAACAAAGAAACTAGGGACCAATTCTCTAGGACTATAACCACAAAAAGACATGGCGATCGTGATCATTTCGAGCCTGTATGTGGTTGTATCTTTCTGTCTTGGTGGATTATTTGTGTTTGGTCAAGGTTTGTAATTTTCTCTTTTCATTAGTTTAGTATCGGTATTGCTGTGAAACCGTACATCTGATTTAAAAATAGTTGTGAAATGAAATGAAATGGATAGCTGAAAGTGAGCTCTATCAGCTGGATAGGTGAATATTGGGACAACTATACAGATAAATTAGCCGATATTGAGCTCTATTAGGCGGCATCGGGTTCGTTCGTCCTATTACACGTTCGCCCTGAGTCCAAACCCAGATTCCTATTAGGCCTAGATAGAAGGTTGAAACTTCGAAAGTGAGCCGTGAATACTATACTGATTAGCTTAGTTAAAACAATTCCCTTTCCTGAGACTAAACTACGATTGGTAAAACAGATGGTGAAGCTGTCCTTTTTAAGTTCAATTTGATGGATGTTTAACTAGGAACACTGACAGTTGCTTACGCATTTTTTCACAGGTCCTATTAGAGAACGTCTTCCTCCTCCCATCCAGAATTTCACTTCCCAATATTTTCTGTTCACTCAACAAAACCCGAATGTAGCCGAGAATATCACGTGGGAGAACCTGGGTAATAATTTTAACAGTGGAGCTAAAACTGTGTTTATAATTCATGGTTTTACCGAGAGTGGTGGAGATGATTGGGTGACCAAGATGAAAAATGAACTTCTCTCGGCAGTAAGTTTTTTAATTAAATTTGATCTGAAGATCATGAGCATGGCCAAAGTAATACGGACACAAGTTATTATGGTCACAGTAATACGGACACGCGTTATTATGGCCAAAGTTACGGCCAAAGTAACACGGACACAAGGTATTATGGTCACAGTAATACGGACACAAGTTATTATGGCCAAAGTAATACGGACACAAGTTATTATGGTCACAGTAATACGGACACGCGTTATTATGGCCAAAGTAACACGGACACAAGGTATTATGGTCACAGTAATACGGACACAAGTTATTATGGCCAAAGTAATACGGACACAAGGTATTATGGTCACAGTAATACGGGCACAGGTTATTATGGTCACAGTAATACGGACACAAGTTATTATGGCCAAAGTAATACGGACACAAGTTATTATGGTCACAGTAATACGGGCACACGTTATTATGGCCAAAGTAATACGGACACAAGGTATTATGGTCACAGTAATACGGGCACAGGTTATTATGGTCACAGTAATACGGGCACAAGGTATTATGGTCACAGTAATACAGGCTTAGGGTATTTCGACCACAGTTATACGGACACACGGTATTTTGGTCACAGTTATACGGACACACGGTATTTTGGTCACAGTTATACGGACACACGGTATTTTGGTCGCAGCAATACGGACACAAGGTATTTTGGCCACAGCAATACGGACACACGGTATTTCGGCCACAGCAATACGGGCACCAGGTATTTTGGTTACTGTGACCAAAATACCTTGTACCCGTATTACTATGACCATAATAAACTGTGACCATATTTCCGGTGACCAAATTGACTGTGACCAAGTTACCGTGCACTATAATGGATAATGTATAATATAGTAAACAAACATGCGTCCCACACAATCCAGTTCTCGTGGTTAAGGAATGTAAACTCTGATTAACGAATTCCCTCTGAACCAACAACAACCCCTAGTTAACAACCCCTGGTCATATAAAATCGAACATTGCTCACAATGCATCCACTCCTACTAGTCACCTCTTTTCAGCGGGATTTAATCAGCGATCTGTAAAAATTCACATTTTATTTTTTTCAGGAAGAATTAAATGTCATAATCGTCTATTGGGAAGAAGGAGCGGCCATGTTTTATCCACAGGCGGCGTCTAATACTAAAACAATGGGACGGAGACTAGCTGATATGATCGAGGCTATGAGTGACTCGGAGGGGATATCGTTAAACATGGTACATCTGGTAGGACACGGTCTGGGAGCTCATGTCGCAGGCTTCGCCGGTAAAAGATTGAATTTTCTTGGAATTGGAGAGAGATTGGGTAGGATCACGGCTTTGGATCCATCCGGTCCAGGATTCGCTTTAGAAGATGACAACGATCACTTGGATATGACAGACGCTGAGTTTGTGGACGTCATACATTCCAATGATGGCGAGCTGTTTCATCTAGGTAAGATTATCCTTGTTTTCGTAAAGCTAAAACTGTCTTGGTAATGAATGGTAAATTTCTTGTGTCTTCTTGGGCGAGACTCTTTACTTCCGGTATTTCACAACTATTTGTCAAGTGGTAGTCACATAGCGACCTAAATATAGTCCCTATTTGGGGATAATACTGACACTTGCTTTTGCATATATTGCTATATTGTGGCTATTGGTTAACCAATAATACATTTTATTATCAGTTTGAATACATATCTTACTTACGCTTGTAGTCCTAAACGACCTTTGATCTTTAAACTACCAGAACTACGTGATCACGTGACAATCTTGACAGAGTTCCGGTAAATAATTTCATTACCGGGATGTTGCAGAGCTCCAGCCGAACTTTTACGGTAGTTGGTTTGTTCAAATAATTGTCAATATTTCGAAAAGATGTAAAGGCTGCAGAAGAAATTAATTGAATGCGTGCTCTGAAAACTATCATAGTTGTTTGCTGTTTTTGGTATTTTCGATCGGCCATTATGACAACAACTCAACCTTAGACTTCAGAAAGAAAATTTGATACTGAAATTCTTGCGTCAGAGACACAGGGTATTCAAATATTTTCCCACAATAATATGGTTCAGAGGAATCTAATTCGTCAGATAGTAAATTCCCTATAAACACTTACCAATCAAAATTAATGGCGATGTGGGATTGTGAAAGCAACGGCGAGATGTGTCTTACACCGTTGCTAAAGTAACATGCAACAACAAATGCATTCTTATCAAATTGTATCATGTTGCTCTGACATCAATGAAATGATACTTGTGTTTGCAGATATTATTTTCCGGCCCGTTTTTATCTGAAAATTGTTTTTCATTTTTCAGCCTTTGGTTATCTAAGTGGAAGATCTGTGGGACATGCTGATTTTTACCCAAATGGGGGTAAAGTTCAACCCAACTGCCCCGATCCTGACATCAGAGATTTAATAAGCAATATCAAAGGTTGGTGAATTATAAACCAAGGTCAAGGATAAAGATTATGACACGGTCAAGGTTATTCTGAGATTCAAAGTGGATACAATCAGAATCTGGACATAGAGTGCAGGTGAATATTCACGGCCAGCAGACTGTTTTCAGCTTTCCGAAGACTGTCGAGAAATGTCGAATGGTAGAGCCCTTTCGGCACTTATGGTGAACAGTTAGCCGTTGCGAATATCGATTCGATTGCAACATATAACTATTCCAATGTGTATGATCTTCGGCTATATATTTTCAGGTTTACCGATCAATATCGCCTGTAGCCATCTGAAGTCAGCAGAATATTTCACCTATTCAATCAAAACATGTCAATACAGAAGTCGACTGTGTCGCAATGGAACTGTGATATCAGGTGCTGCTATGGGTTATCATGCCTCGTCTACTTTACGCGGTAAATTCTGCCTAACGACGTCAAACTCCCCGCCATTTTGTGTAAGTCAATCTCTATGATTCGCTCTTAAGAAATTTGAAATCTATCCCGATATGCACTGTTACAAGACAAAGAATGGCAGAAATGACACGATATAGGCTAATTAAGTCTTTTTTAACTTTACGCTTAAGATGCAAACAGTGGCGGCGCTAGCCTCCTGGAACGTATAGAATATATATTTTTAAATTTCTCGGGGTACAAACTATATTTTAGGGGGCACCGCCACTGGGTCGGAAGGGAACTGGGGTGTGGTACGTAGGCTACATCGTAAACAGATATCATGTTGTTATTTCAGGAAATTTGATTTTGTGGAATTCATACTAAAACTACCATTTACATTCTGATAAAACCTTATATGACCAAATATCAAAACAGTGGAATTCTGATCACGTAAGAATACCATTGTTCTGAGTACGATCTGCTAACTTGGTATGAAACCATGGAAATGAGCCATTTAAGATGTCGTTGGGTTCAATAAAACTGATCTACCAATAAAATCGCTTACTTGTCTTTTCGTCATTTTAACTTTCAAACGCAGATAATTCGGAGTGGATTTGAAGGCTCAGATTCCGACGGTAAGCTATGGACACTATAGCTTAACTAAAAAAGGTGTTTGTGATATTATGGTACGAACCAAGGGCGAATATGTTCCTGTAAGGAACTAATCACCAATAATTCCACATACTCTTTTTTCTATCAACGCATCAGGAGAAAACATACTAATATTTAAATTCTAATATTTAATAAAGAATCTAGTAAGTACTAAAAATTCCATCCATAACAGGAATAAAATTTAAGAAATTTAAAGATAAATGCTGAAGATGTGCAGAAGAATGAAATGAAAATACAACAGGCAATTGTTAGTACAAGACTGGAGCAAAAGAGAATTCATTTCACCTACTCCTCCCCCCCCCCCCCCCTCACCCGCCCATTCTAAAAAGAGTTCGGCTTTTTACCTCCTGATCTTTTATGAAAAGGCCACAATATGACCACGTGGGGTGCTACAGCGATAATCCCCCCTTTTATTTATTGCAAAATCTGACAGACATTTTAAACCAAAGACTGGTCTGTTCTGCTGATGTCAACCAGATCTTGCACCACGAATGCTAGAAAAGCACTCTACGGAGTGTTAGTAGTTGCAGTCGTTTTTGTGGTCGTGGTTGTGGACCTACTACTGGCCGAATATTTATACTTCTCAGAAACACGTTCCAGGGCCATTTTTCTCGTTCGTGACGTCATACCAAACGAGAAGAAAATAAAAACGCCTTGTAGTCCGTTCAGGATAATATACACGTACCATAAGGCCTCGACATTACTGAAACTTGCTACAAACCCAAATATCCAGGAAAATCCCATCACGGACGACAATTTTATATACATGACGCATCGTTCCCGGTCTCGTTTTCGACCCGTGATCATGTCGGTTGCCGCCATTGTTTTTTCAATATAGTACAATGTCATGCAGAAACAGACGGAGCTGATTAATAGGACTGTACCGACTGGTACAAAAAACATATAAATATAACCGTCAATGTTAGACATCCAAAGACAGGAGGCTTGGCCGTAATTGACATGGAGATGACCGCCCGGAAATTGGTCAAGTATTGTCAAAATAATACACAGAACGGCCGGAGATATCAAACAAATTGACGATAAACGTATAAAAGCGTTTCCACCCAGCCATTCCGAGCCGCCGTGCATCGTTTTCGGGTGGAACGTCCGTAACATGTTAACAGCAATGACTGCCATCCACATAAATACTGTCAGCCACGAGTAGTGAGTGACGGCAGCGAAGTACCGACAGATTGGTCTGGGCAAATTTGGCAAAATCAACAACCCTTGTGCTAAAATCAATGACAGGGATAATCCCATGGTTAACTTTCCGGGTAGATTTCTTAAATCGGGCAGCAAACAGTATAATATTATAGTAATAATTAGGCAAACGATTGATAAGCTGGTACAGGCCACGGAAACGTAAGTTTGAATTGGATTCATATCAAAAAATGCCGTGAGCTTGAAGATAGCTGGATTCAAACACACAATGACCCCTTCGTCTGTAATTTCATACTGTGTGGGTTCAAAGGTCAATTTACGATAGCGGATAGTCAGAATTCCATCATCAGATACATTGAATTCATTTTCCTGGTAGAGAAATCGCTGAAAGGAACATTTGAAAGACGAAATCAGTCTGGGGCGGCAGAAACAAAATTGTGTCAACTCCATTCTGTCTGGGTTAGTCTCGATCATAAGTTCAAAAATAGAATTGAAGAGTGGTGCTATGTAGGTTCGATTTTCTACCACAGCTTCCACAAACCACGAGAAACGTAAAACGAGTTTCGTTTCGTTCGTGCAAACGATTTTTGTGGGGCAGATGTCATCTTCTGGTAAAGGGAAGTTACTCAGGGTAAAACGCGTTTTATCGTAATTGTATTTGTAATCTTGTAATTGTAGACTAGAAATATATTGTATCACGTCTGCTCCACTTGAATTGGTAATGTCTATTTGCAACCAAGCTTCCATTGTATAATTGCCGTCTGAATACTCGTGTAGGGAATCTTTGAAGGATAATATATTCATTTGTATATCGAGAGACACAAATTCATGCATGTAATTAGCGATGGCCTGAAAAACTGTTAGATTAACCAGCTTAGTGCCGTTTGGTTGAAGATAGAGGTCAGGGGTCAAAGTAATCGTGCTGTTCTTAATACATCGACCTTTGACAGGAAATTCGTCGAACGTGCACACGATTTTTCTGCACGTTAGAAAAAGATGGTCGTATTTTTCATCATCTGAGCAGAATTCAGAACTATCCCGCAGTTTTCCGTTGACCAAAACTGCAGTCCGGTCTGGTAGCTCAAACAAAGTCCTCAGAGAAATTTTATATTTGAGTGGATCTCCACACTGTGAATCATATCCCACAAACGAAAGCTTACACATAATACAGTCGAGAGTAAACTTCGAACCTTTTTCACAGTTCGGACATACCTCACTATTCAGTTGGACGACACTCATGAGTAGAATATCACACTGTACGTCTTTCCATTTTAAAGGCGGAGTAAAGGTCACCTGACATTCGTCTTTAACAGGTATTGGATTGTTAGCAAGTTGTGGATTTTCACAAGTATAGTCCACACCCCATGCCGTCATTCTGCTTTTAATAAAATCCTCATCTATTCCGTTACACAATGCACAAAACACATTCTTAAAAACAACAGTTACGTGCATCCGAAATTCATAAGGTGGTAACGGAGAGGGTGGATTTGTACACATAAACGTATTTTGCCCTTTAACATCCTCGGGACAAGAATCAACAACGGGTATTCGCAGTTTCTTTGTTGGTGTGGTAATGTCTGCACAACGCCCATATTTGGTTATAAAATATGCAAAATATTTCATCATGTACTTGGTTCCATTCAAGATGGCGTCGAATGTCACATTCACACTCTCCCTCCAGTTGTCTACATCCTTAAATATAGAATCTGCGCATGTTTCTTCGGGAAATCCATAAAATGAGCAATTACACGTGCTATTGTTGTAAATTAGGTCATCAATAAATCCGAGTTTAAATGAAATACACCCGTAATACATACCAATGTCTGGACAAAAAGTTTCTATGATCTCTCTACCTGAAACTAATTAAAGATCATGATTAAAGGGACAGATTCGCTATTTCCTGGGTGGGGGGGGGGGGGGGGGGGGGGAAGGGGGAAGGGGGGG